AGCAGAGACCCAGGATCTGAGGTCCTGGACCCAGCAGAGACCCAGGACCTGTCTGTCCTCAGAGCAACATTCTTGTTATTTCTGCGCGTCACGCAAAGTTTGTCCTGATCTGGATCAGTCTGGACCTCAGACCTGATCGACCCTCTAATCAGCCTGACTGCAGCCCGACCCCGCAGTTGGGGGGTGGGAGGGGGGTCTGATCAGAAACCGATCTGATCAGGAGTTAAGCGCGTGGAAAGATTTCACCTGAGTGAAGTGAAACCTGCTGCGCGCGCGTCAGGTGATAAGACTGAACGGGTTTTACTCTCTGATCGAATCAGAACCAAAAAAAAAAAAAAAAGAGAAGCAGAGATCATCAGAGGATCATCAGAGGATCACCAAATCATCTTAAGAGGATCACCAGAGGATCATCAGGATGACTTGCAGACTCTGACTCTTCGATCAAGACTCATGAGAATCGAGGAGAGAACGTTCCATCAGAAGTAAAAAGCAGCGCGCGCGCGCGTGCTTACCTGCAGCAGCCAGTGGCACGTCTCTCCGATGAAGGGGAAGCCCATGGAGCCTCTGGGCATGGGCAGCTTGCAGTTCTTGTCGCGCGTGGCGGTCCAGCGGAGCTGCCACAGCTGCTGGGACACGGCGAGCAGCAGCGCCATGGACACCAGGCAGGCGGCCAGGGTGGCCAGAGCCGAGACCAGGTCGAAGCTGTCGAACAGCATGGTGATGAGGGGGGTGGGGGGCGGGGGGGGTCCGAGCGACTCTGCAGGGGACGTTCGAGACCAAGCTCGGGTCTGTGAGGTGCGTCTTTGCCTTTTTCTTCTCGTGCGTAAAAGGCGCTCCAAAGCGCACGGGATGGATGAACAGCTCCTCTGAGAGGGGGGTGGGGGGTGTCAGTAAAATAATCACAGGTGAGATCTGGAGTCTCTCAGAATCCTTCAAACTCGCCTGGTTCTGAAGATGTCAGCACCTGGAGCTGGACCCGGTCCTGATGCTGGAACACTCATTTTTCAGTCTCGGGACTCGTTTGGGTCGGAACCAAAAGTGAAGCCGAGAAGTTCGAAGGAAAACTTCCAATAACCGCGTCTCCAACAAACAAAAGTCCAAAATCATAAAAACCGGTTCGGAAGCCCCAGGAGGACTCGGACTGTAGGATCCGGGAGGTTCTGGGGATGCTCCGTCCTCCTCTCTGCTGCAGCGCGCGAGCGTGTGTGCGCAAACTGTGCGTGTGCGTCCAGCCAGAGGCGCCGCGGAGTGTTTATATAGCGCAGAGGCGGCCAAGGGCTCCCGTGGCCCCCCTCCCGGACCCCACCCCGTCATCCCTCCTCCTGCGCTCCACCTCTCGGCTCCTGGAGCTCCCCCGGCCCGGCCCGGTTCGGTTCGGCTCTTCTCAGAGGGAGGAGGCTCGGAGCGTGCTGCGGCTGGCCCAGGTCCAGCTCAGAGTCCGTGCGGGACAGAGCCCACCAAGGTCTGCTGTGGTGGGAGAGTCCAGAACCCACGAGAGTTCTGGTTCTGGAGCTGCTGGAAAACAAACAACAGAAGTAAATAAAAACAGAAGCAGGACCCTGTGAGACATCCAGTCTGGGTTCTGAGGACATTCTTAATAATCCGGTCTTCATCAGGTTCTAAAAAGGTTCTGAGTTTATAAAACCACTGATCCACCGAGCCATTCTTTTTTTACACAAACGAGTTGAAAACAGAAACATTTGTGTAAAACTTAAATCCACTCCCGGACTCAGCGGCTCCTTCAGCTGCAGAACCTCAGCAGGGACTTCCTGTCGGAGGTCTGGTGGTGGAGGTCTGGTGGTGGAGGTCTGGTGGCGGAGGTCTGGTGGTGGAGCGTGTCGGCCCACTCTGCTTTAACATGGAAGGTTTGGTTCCTCCACAACCTGTCAGTCAAACCTGACCCGTTCTGCTGTAGATCCAAACGGACTCGTTTGACTCCAGAGTCCTTCGGTCCACAGAGACCAGGGTCGAGCCCAGACCATGAGTCCTCCTCCCCGTGCTGATGTGTTTGGAGCAGAGGATTATGGGTAAATGGGTTTATTCTGGTCTGGTTTTGTCCCAGAAGAACTTTACAAATAAAAAGTTTCTTCATTTAAACTTTTCAAACAGCTGCGGACGACACAAGGTTTAATTAATCACATGGTCCACGTGTCAAACTGGAGGCTCGTGGGCAAATCTGGTCTGTGCCAACATCTGATCTGGGCCCCGAGATATTTTAAATGCAAAATATTTTCATCGCTTCTCATTTTGCTTAAAAAACAAAAATCTTAATTTAGTGCAGAATTCTTTTGGCGTCTGGAAAAAACAGTTGACTCTTTCAGCCATCGTTGATTTTGGCGTGAAAAAAGAGGCCGATCAGACGAAAAGATGTTGAGTATCGACAGAAACTGGCCCATGATGGACTCGGTTTTTAATTTTGGCCCCCTTTTGTAAGTTTGACTCCTCGATCCGGTTGGAGGAGCTCAACGATTGTTTAAAGTTGAGCCTTTATGTAAAATATACAGTAAATTACAATAAAATGACATAATTCTGTTTTATTTGTCAAAGTTGGAATATTCCAGTGTGGACAAATGTTCATGGCACACATTAACCGTAACCGACTGTACACAGCCAATGGTCTGCAACGGTAAATTTTAACAGAAAATTTGTGCTAAATTACCATAAATTAAGACATAATTTGA